CTAAGGGTATAGGGAAGAGGCATTGACTTCAGTTCACTATATCTCGCATTAGAAGTTCAACCCCATTCCTCACCTTATTTAGAAATTCTTCTATCCTAATGTGACTTCAAGTTCTGGTTTGTCAAGGAACCAGATCCTTGTTCAACAGTTACTTAAATACAACACCTGCCAGTTTTTTAACATAAAGTTTACAACCAGACACTTCATATTCTCTCCCCCTCTCCTTCCTTACTTCCACTCTGTTGTCTTTCACCTCCTAGAATTGCTGTATATCATAGTACTTGGGGTCGGAAGGGATCTAAACAGATCATCGGGTCCGACCCCCTGCCCCGGACAGGAATGGGTGCAGGGATCATATCACCCCAGCCAAATATCTGTCCAGCCTCCTCTTGAAGACGCCCAAGATAGGAGAGAGCACCACCTCACTTGGGAGCCCATTTCAGAACCTGGCAGCTCTAACTGTAAAGACTTCAGTAGACTTCACTTCTCTGGCAGTGTCCTGATGTCCAGCCTGAATCTTCTCTCTAACAATTTGTGGCCGTTATTCCTAGTAACCCCTGGTGGTGCCTGGGGGATAAGAGCCTCCCCCAATTTCCGCTGGTGCCTGCTGGGGAGTTTGTAAATGGCCACCAGTTCCCCTCTCATCCTTCTCTTGTAGAGGCTAAATAGGTTCAGGCCCTTTAGCCATTCTTCGTAGGGCCTGCCCCACTGCCCCTTGACCATGCGAGTGGCCCTCCTCTGGACCCTGTCAATGCTAGCCACACCCCTCTTCAAGTGCAGTGCCCAGAACTGGACACAGTACTCCAACTGTGGCTTGACCAATGCCACATAAAGGGGAAGGATCACCTCCCTGGACCTGCTTGTGATGCATCTGTAGATGCACGACAAGGTACGGTTAACCTTACTGACCACTTCCTCGCACTGGTGGCTCATGTTCATCCTGGAGTCAACAATGACTCCAAGATCCCTTTCTGCCACTGTGTTCCCCAGCCTATAGGTGTGTTGCTGGTTCCTTTTCCCTAGATGCAGTACCTTGCACTTGTCTGCGTTGAACTCCATCCTATTCTCACCCGCCCACTTCTGCAACCTGTCTAGATCTAGCTGGATTCTGTCCCTCCCCTCCAGCATGCCCACCTTGTCCCACAACTTGGTGTCATCAGCGAATTTGGACAGCGAGCATTCCACACCCACATCCAGATCGCTGATAAAGATGTTGAAGAGTACAGGCCCCAGGACCGACCCTGAGGGACTCCACTGCCCACATCCCTCCAGGTCGAAAATGACCTGTCCACCACCGCTCTCTGGGTGCGACTGTGTAGCCAATATGCCACCCATCTGACTGTGTAGGCATCAATGCCACAGTCACCAAGTTTGTTTGTTTGTTTTTTTTCAGAGAATGTGGTGGGAAACCGTGTCAAAGGCCTTATTAAAGTCCAGGAAGATGACATCCACTGTGACTTCCTCATCCAGGGATTTTGTGACCTGATCATAAAAAGAAACTAGGTTAGTCAGGCAGGACCTGCCCTCACTCAATGATCCCATGTTGGTTGCCCCTGAGAATTACCTCCCCTGCTGGGCCCTTGCAGATGTGCTCCTTGATAATTTTCTCAAAGGTCTTCCCAAGGACCGAGGTAAGCCTCACTGGCCTATAATTGCCGGGGTCCTCCTTTCTCCCCTTCTTGTAAATGGGGACCACACTGGCCCTCTTCCAATCCTCTGGTATGTAAGTGATATCAAAACAATGGGTGTCAACTTTATCTTCAGAATATCTAAATATGAGAATTTTCCTTTGGTTCCCAGATTTAGCTGCATGGACAGCCTAAAGTTTACTCTCAAATCACTTGAGGCACAACTCGAGAGAGTCCAGAGGAGAGCCACCTGTATGATCAAAGGCCAAGAGAGCAAGCCTTACGAGGAGAGGCTGAGGGACATGGGACTCTTCAGTGTGGGGAAGAGAAGTCTCAGGGGGGACCTGGTGGCTGTCTATAAGTATATAATAGGGGGTGCATCAGGATCTGGGAGAATAGTTGTTCACTAGGGCTCCCCAAGGGATAACTAGATCTAACGGCCACAAAGTTCTAGAAGGCGGATTCAGACTCGATGCAAGAAAAACTTCTTTACAGTCTGAGTGCCCAAGGTCTGGAACAGACTCCCCCTGCCCCCAGAGGTGGTGCAAGCACCTACTCTGCACTCATTCAAAAGGCTTTTGGATGTTTATCTTGCTGGGATCATCCAATTCCTATAGACTTCCTGCCTCTGGCAGGGGAGCTGGACTCAATCGCACGAGATCCCTTCCAGTCCCTAATGTCTATGAAACTAAACTCTGACCCACCTCCACATTATTTTTGCATACTGTCATTTTTCATTTTGTAATGTTTTTCTAGACTTGTAAATTAATTGATAGTGGGGGCATTTACATGAGTGCTTTACTGTGGAGTTAGCTGATTAGCTCCAGTAAAGCTTCACTGCCTACACTTGCAGCACTATTTGGCCAGACTAAACCAACTCCGCGATATGATAGTATTATGCAACATAAGTACTATCCTATAATGGAGTTATTAATTCTGTCACAATATATGTGTAGATGGTGACCAGGGCTGGCTGGGACATAAGGATGCTACAGTGTGCCAGCTGGCTAGCTCTGCACTTTAGTAGCTTTGTGCCACTGCTAGCAACTTTATTCAGCCATGTGAATTGCATGTATAGATGCGCCCAGTGGGATTTTTAATGGTTCTTTCCAATGCGATCTTTTTCAAAAAAGGACTGAGATTTGACTATGGAACAACTTTGGGAAGCAAAGGAAAACTCTTCCTTATGTATGCACAAGTGTTATGCAGCCATGGTTTATCTTCATCATTTTATATAAAATGATAAAGGATCCTCAATTAAACAATGCATTTTAAACTTACTTTAATTTTTACCCATCTGTCTTTTTTTCCTGTGTGCGTCTAAGGTGAAGACCCTTAACCGAATCTTAACAGTTGCTCATGAATTCCTCCTTTCTGCATGACTGCACAGACGATGTCCATCTTGATTTTGTACATCAGTATTGTACTATGACTCACAAATGTCCAGACATAATCTCATAAATACACATGTGAGACTGCTGCTGGCATAATTTGTTCAGTTTGCTTTGTATCTGTTATTTTTAAATTGGCATATGTATGTATTCACCTACAGTAGTTATTTGACATCTCCCTGTTGCTGGCTTGGATAAAAGTGTTCCCCCCCTCATCCTCTCTGCTATAGTATCAGTCAGCAGCTGCTGCTATGTTCTTGGCAGCTGCACAGTATAGATTCTGAAGTGTGATTTGTTTTTATTTTTTTCTATGAGGAATTACTGGGTGTTTCAAAGTTAAGTTGACAGGCCTTTTGGGGGGAGTTATTGGAAGAAGGCACTGCTGACCATTTAGAACTACTGATGAGGGCCTCTATGGGATTGGTCTTCAGCTAGTTTGTCTTTCTCAGTATTTTCCTTCAACTTGCTTTAAGTCATTAACTTACTCCTGCATTTGAAAATGTCTCCTGCAATTTCCTTAAAAAGCTCAATGTGCAGATTTATTTCGCAGTCTAAATGAATAGAAGAGGATGAGGGTAATTATTTTCCATGTGTCAAATTAATCTCTGGTGTAACACTAATGAAAACAGGGTTTCTGCACCTCTGCCTAATTGGCCATACCTGATAATTGTGTGTGTGTGTGGTGTTTTTCAAAATTACTTTGTGGCTCCCACTGATACTCCCAAATACTTTTATTTCTGATGAGCAGTGAAGTCTACTGTGGTGTATAAATTGTTTCTGTTTTTTAGTGTGGTCTGGTTCTGATTACATGCAAT